ACTATAGTTCACAATAACCTGTTATATTTTATTAAGAACTAGAAAAAAAGAGCTCAAGAACTCCAAAACTAAAGAAATGAGAAGGACATGGAAAAGTTAATCAGCCTGATTTGATCACTGGATGTTGTATACATGTTTTGGAAATATCATACATAAAATTATTACATGTTAAAAATTTAAGTGATAGAAAAAAATATAAGTAATATAAAATTGAGAGGCCTGCCTTTATTGTGGATATGGAGAGTGGCTACCAGCAAACTATAATTACCCACTTAGCACCCAATTAAGAGTGAGAGACAGGTGGAAATGTTGAAATTTGAGGTGTTGATGTTAATGGTAAGATCATCTGATTAGGGATTGCATAGTTAGGAGCAGAGCTTCTTGGTGTACACAATAATAAAGCATAGGACACAAGAAACAAGATAATGGGCAAGGAAGGCTTTTATTCTCTGTTACCAAGAAATATGTATTTTGTTATAAAGAAAGTCAAATCTGTTAGATTTTTTTATTGAGAAGTTTGAGTGAGGAAGAAATCCTTCTTGCCAACATTAGAATACCATTTGTACTTTCTAAAAGAAAATCTCATGATTTCTCTCGTGAGTCTATTATATCAATGTAAACAACAGTATTAATCCAGTAAGTATTTCCCCATTATTTTGGAAACTGAATAGATTACTTTAAGCACTCAATATACATGCTCAAGACCATGTTGTCATGTTTTGCATGTAAGTAGGGGGATGGATGTTTGCAACACATAATAATTACATATATTTTGGGGAATTGGTACATGTATAGAGCATTTCTTGATCATTTTTTTACATCCCTCCCTCCCTCTTCTCCGTGATTTTACATCTAACAAGCTGGGAAGTGAGTACCTAAAATTGTGCAGAACAGAAAGTTAATTTGATATTCAGTGATCATCATGGACAGTTACTTTTTTTTCCTTCATAATTTTTCAATATTTTATTCATCTTAGTGCCCCCAAAGTATATTTGTATGAAACTTTATTTCTTTGTAGATGGAATTTCAGGAAGACAGAATTTTTTTTTTTTTGGTAACGGGGATTGAACTCTGAATAATTTGACTTTTACAATCCTTGTCTGAATGATGCAATTATAAGTGGTCTCAAGAGAAAAAGTATAGTTAGAATGTATATGTTTAATTATGAAAGGAGATTTATTGGCTGAGCTTACAAGAGCAGATGGAGTGTGCACAATAGCTGTCTGTGGGTTCAGAGGAGGGAGAGTCTACAATGTCTATCCATGGGATCAGAGTAGAACAATCCTCAATGGCCATTTGTTTACTAGATATGGGAAAATACAGTAGCTGCTCAGCCCAAGTAGATGGAAGATGAAAAACAAAAGGGATCAAGGATGCAGCACCAGGTGAAAGCCTGGAAACTCCCTGTAGAGCCACTAGACTGTGACTGCATTAGAAATCTGAACATTCTGGAAATTGATATCCAAAAGTGGTGGTGAAGATTGGAGCTCTTCAGAAATGAGTACACTTCCTTCTTCTTATTCCATTCTGACTACAAACCTATTGGTTGGTGCCACCCACATCCAGAGAGAGGTTTCTCCCTCAGTATGCTGGCCTACATCTCACTCATTCACAGACATATCCAGAACTGTGCTTCAACAATATAGCAGTGTTAGTATTCCTTAACCCATTAAAGTTGACATGTCATATTCATGGTCAAAATTGAGGGAAAAAACCCAGAATCCATATAGAAGGGATAGGAAAAATGAGCTGTGGCACAGACAGATATTTTAATTCCAACAGAGAACTGAAATGGTATAAGAATGAAAGCATGCAGACTACCCGGGTGTGGGGAGGTAATAGCAAAGAATGAGGGAGAGACTGTGCCTCAATGGGAACCTCCTGACCACACACTGCCTGGACAGAGATCTTATGACAGGAAGATTAATTTCAGATCCATCAGTGTTGAGAAAACACTACCAGTGTATCTACTACTGAACTGCCTCAAGAGCTGGTTAGATTTGATGCTATGGAAAAAGTACTTCAGTATCTATCCCTGTGTAAGGGTAGGGGAGATGCAGGCTGATGACATTAATTCCTATAATAGATGTGCAGTAAATACTTGCTGTATGCAAAACACTGATTGTACATCATTGAACAGAGGAAATTCTTCCCTCAAAAAGGTACATTCCTGGAAGTATAATAAACAAAAAACAACAAATGTCACCACAATTAAGGTTTTTATTGGCATTTTTGTAGGCAATAAACTAGGCAATGGGAAATAATGGAAAGGATTTTAAGACAATGTAAATGGTCTAGGAAAGTGACCATGGGGAATGTGGGAGAAATCTAAGTCCTCTACTGATGAAAGGATGTTCTCACTTTTCATGGGAAAAGTGAATGTGAACATTAAGAAATTTTGGTACCTCAGGGATTTGTATTGTTAATCCATTATTGAGTTTTAAGTTCATGGGGCAAACTAGGAGAACAAATTTCCCCTTATTGACTGCACTGTGAGTAGTAAATTGATGCCAGTACCAAGTTTCTCTAAACCCGCTATGCCATGGCCAGTGATGTGTAAATGCAAAGGTTCTATCATAGATAGAAATCAGAAATCAGGTCCATTCACCAAATTTTAAAGTGATGTTTACTAAATTTTTTGCCAAATTTAAAGAAGCTATAGTGGGTAGATTAGAGATCATTATATTATTAATTTAATGTCTTCAGCATTGGCTCTTTTGAATGCTTTAATCTGGCTAATATAAATTTGGCTTTTTCCTCCCTATCCAAAAGCTTTGATTGTAATAGTATTTCATGACAATGTTGTAAAGTTCAGCTATATCAATAAAAAACAAGTTTGGACAGTAAGAAAAAAAAAGGATGTTCTCTTCAGCACCATCTCACAATGTGCTAATGGTCACACCAGCAATACGCTTATAGAATTGGAATGCCATGTGGACTCCATTTCACCTAAACAATGAAATGCTGTTTGCCAAGAATTTGGCAGAGAAAATTGTTTCAGAAAATGTTAGTCTAATTAAAATAAAAAATCTATTTTTTAATCAGAGTATTAAATATTTCAACAATAAAATGGTTTTATTAATGTCAACATATGCTGTAAAGGAACTAATGTTTTGTTTGTTTTCTTTATTTTAGCTTTTTCAATTATACACAGTCACACATAGATTTTTCTCCCCCTGGGGAAAATACAAGACTTATTAGTTTTCATTAAAAATAGAAAAAAATATCTTGCATTTTGTTTCACTTAAAAAGCAATACTCAAATTAATACTCATCAGAATCCTAAAGTGCATTGTGTTTCTTTCCCTGAATAATCAGTCACTTTAACTGAAAATATGGTTATGGTTTAAAACTTTTACCAAGTTTTATGATCTCTAGTGGAACTAGCCTTTCTATCTGGAGTAGCTGCAACCATCTGAGTCAGTAGGCAAATAAGGAGAAGAGTCTGAGGTATCCCAAACAGCGTAATCCAATTTTGTAAAATAAAAGCTTCATTCATTATGTTAGCTTTTTGTGGGCTCTCCAGATTGTGGTGCAGAGTACCAGCACTAAACATTAATAATTTTCTAAATAGAATCAAATCCCTTGGAAAATCAACACCAGTTACATTGCTTGCATGAACTTCCAGGTCTGGTATTCATAGGTCAAGGAAAGGAATTTAAATTCACAACCAATAACTATTACCTTAGGAAAATATGAAGTTGAAGCACCTTCAGGAAGGCAGGCATGCAAGTTTGGTTTTTTTTTCTTGGTACCAGGGATCAAATTCAGGACCTTGCACTTACAAGGCAGACATGGTGCCACTAAGCTAAATCCCTGGCTGGAAGTTTTTATCATACAATTCTATTTAATAAACACGACCATCAGAATGTCATAATAATTCCTAACCATACTCTCAACATTATTAAAGTTAGGTCAACCACTAGATCTCATAGCTTAAGAAAGTCAATAAGAACCACATATCCAATTACATATTCTTTTAAAAAACTCCCTCAGGGAAGGGTGGAGGTGGTGAAGGGTGCACAGGTAATGGGAGAGAAAATAAGAACTAAGATACATCACGTTCTGGTAAAACACCTAATCATAAATGTAAATGTATTTTATACCTAAAATGTACCAATAAATATATATATATAAATAAAAAAATAAAAATAAATAAATAAATAACTCCCTCAAACTACTCGTGGAAGTCTAGAAATGTAAACTTTATTTTATCACACCCAGAACAAGGCAATCATTACAAGAAATCCTTCTCAGGGACTCACATTCTCTGTTATTCGATCTGTACTCAAGTGCTTGCACATATTACACTTAATGCTTAGCACTTCCCACTTGAAGTGCATTATCATCTAACAAAACTGAGGTAAACCCATCCTTTATACATTCTATGAAACTAAATCTGATTCATGACAAATGTCACTGAATTGTTGAATACTTGCATGATCAATATCTCAGTGTTTCATTTAAAGCTTTTTCTATTACTAGTTATTTATTTTTTAGTAATTACTTTCTTCAATTTAGTTGAATCAACATGATAGGATTTTTAGTATTCACTCAGATGTAGCACTTTCTGTAAAGATTAACATTTAATGAAGGTGTTTTAAGAAACATAATCTGATTCAAATAAATAGATGAGGAAGGTTGACACTTAAAGCAGGCCAGAACATGACTAAAATTATATCTTCAAAACAACCACACAAATGACTGCACAAGATTAGACTTCAGTTTGGCAAAAAGAGATGGACCACCTTATTGGAGTTACATGAAAAATTTATTACTTGCTCTAAATAAGAATGTTCCTAAAATGGAGAGGAAAAAGCATACAGGAAAAACATCTGACTTTTCCTGGAAAAAAAGAAAAACTACTACTTGTTCAATTCTTCTGCAATGAAAGGGAAGCACAATTATAGAAAACCAAAAATTTTAAAAAATATGTATCTGTCAAATATTTAGAAGAAAACAAGAAATATCATGTCTAACTTAAGCACCAATGTAGCTTACCTGGTTGATATCAAATAGCTCTCACAATTCATGATTCAACTTCAGATTATGTGACAGAAAACTGGCAGAGACTAAAAGAAAGACAAAAATAAAATTATGTTACTGTGTTACTTAATTTTCATTGTAATAACAAAATCCCTGGGCCCAGGGAACATGCCGAATCAGCCTGCTGAAGACAGGCAGGTCTGTGCATGCCCTACCGAGGTCCCGAGTGGCACAGAAGATGCCAAATCACCCCGCGGCAGACAGGCAGCCACCTGGTTCCACACTACAAAGATGCAGAGGACACCAGACCACCAGACCAAGGTAATGAGTCCCGCTGCTCCCGGCCCAGTGGTAGGGGCTTCTGAGCTGCCTTCCCACTGCTCCTGGTCCAGAGGAAAGGGCTTTTGGGCCACATTCTGTCCCGCTGCTCCTGGCCCAGAGGAAGGGGCTTCCAGGCCATCATCCCTCCCACCACTCCCCGCCCAGAGATAGGGGCTTCTGAGCCACTGTCCCACTGCTCCTGGTCCAGAGGAAGAGGCTTCCCGGCCACCATCCCTCCCGCTGCTCCCAGCCCACAGGAAATGACTTTGGGGTCACCATCCCTACCGCTGCTCCCGGACCCTGTGCCACTTCTCCCAGCTCAGAGGAGGTAATCCATGCAGGCGCTAATGGACCCCGCCCCAGTCAAAATGAGAAAACACATAAATAAGTCTCAAAACCAGACTTCCAGATCACCTACAGCAACCCCAAAGGGAAATGAGATGGAACA